TTTAGTGTCTTTCATTTAAGGTGTTTAAGGAATCAAAACTTTAAGGGCGCTTTTTTGCTTTTCTTTACTTTATTTCAGTTAATCTCATCTTAAATGTTTCGTATGTAATGCCCTGAACTTATTATCAGTGAAGGGATTGAAGGTTCTCAAGCATAGAATTATCTGACAATATAAAGAACATCAAAAGACAGCCAAGGAAGCTGAATTAGTAGTTCTGCCTAGCTTTAACTCTTGTAAATTATTCATAGGATGCACTCAGTAAAGCTCCTGTTACGTTTATGATACAACACATATACATTAATCTTGTATTTAATTATCTGAGCAACTTTTTCCTCATACATGATAATATCTTTCTATAGAAGTTTTTTCCTTTCTTTCCTTTACCAACAGTTTACTCTTTGCAATGTGCACTTTTTTGTTTTTCTTTTAATCATATTTTTTCCCCACTTTGTTTGATACATTTTGGTCCTCTGTAAACATCTGATTTTGTGTGTACTATATGATGACATTGATAACTACAGGTGAGTGGTCAAGCTTTATAAATTACAAAGAGCAAGCTGTCTAGGAATTAAACATGGATAGTGGAGGTGAATATGTAAGCAGTCCAGGAACTACCTAACTGCAGTACCAAAAAGAAGATATAGAAGCTAACTATTCAGCTTTACGTTGAGGTAAAAGATTATTTTGTTTATTCAATTTACTCGACTAAAGCCACAGTGATTTTTCTTGTGGTACTAGTTACTCTATTTGCACAATTAAAATAGATAATGCAATAACCTAAGATGGCACTACTTATTACTCAACTTATTATGTGAGCAAAATATTTCTAATTAGGACCTCCAGTTTTGTTGATGAGGGCATCTTCTAAACTTGATTTTGATCTTCATGGTATTAAAAGAACAGTGCCAGTCTTTAATCAATGTGATGAAGATTTAGAAATAAGTTTTTTTCCCCCCCTCACTTGAACTTACCCCTTTAAACCCTTTTCAGGTTGGTTGTAGACAAAACATTATTAACATTATTTGGATTTTAGAACTTTTTTTGCTGGGTATTCTTGATTTTAGAATCTTTAACCAGTAAAATTAGGGTGGGTGAGAAGAACCGAGTACTTTACCCCTTAGCCGTGAAGGTTTTGATGTGATTTTGAGGAACCGGTCTTCCAAATCCTGGAAGAATCAATTGTAAGGTGGTGATGTCATTTCTGATTTATTCAAAGGCAGTTATGCTTTCTTTTTCTGATGCTCTTATGACACCTATAACGAGACATATAAATCTAACCAAGGAGCCAGAAACATTCAACTAAGTAAGTTGGGATTGGAGTATCAAAACAAAATCTCTTATTAAATTTTCAACTCAGTTAATTCATCTACATGTGAAACTTGGAAAATATTATTTCATGTGAAGGTCACAAATGTTATGGAGGTGCTTGTGTGATTTAATCTCTCAAAGAACTTCTTTTTACTCTTATGTGGTCATATGGAAGTGCTCAAGCAGCATAATCTTGAGTCCGGTATTTGCATTTTTTCTGAGGTAATGTGAAAAATGAAAACTATGCGCCCTTGAGTTTCTTGCTGAAGTGCATATATATGATTAATGTCTCTATAGTGAGTTTTTTGTGCTCTCTCTCTCTCTCTCTCTATATATATATATTGATGTGCCTGTTTGGGTAATGACCAATATAATGATGATACATAACATTTATTACATCATTATGATGCGTCGTTTGATTAAGCATTGGCAAGAGGGGTTGTGTGGTTTGAAATATTGACATAGTTTGACTCTTCATTGATATTTGCTGTATCTCGGTTTAATGTAATGAAATCTAATTAACTTCTTATTGGCGTACTTGAATATGTGATACACACACTATACGTTAAATTGATTATTTTTTACATGAGTTTCAAAAGGTTGATATTTTTAACATGTAAGTTGGGTTCTAGAAGTGGCTTTATTTGGTGCTATCAATTTTTTGCCTCAGTACTTTTTTCTAAAAAATAATTAAAGTGGAATTTCTCTTCTCCAGGGAGATTTTTTCAAGGTCTTTAGTGGTCAAGGTATTCTGGTCATCAGTATTTTTTCTTTATTGAGTTAGAGTTCAGTTTTCTCTTAATTATGTGAAACATATTATGGAACATAATAACGTAGAATCACATGCACCTCCGGAGAAATTCAGATTACACCCTTAGCATTGTAAAGCTTCTTTGTATATTGAATGAACCTTAATTGGCTTTGAAGAAATTGTTGTGTTGGAAACTAAAGATTCCAGAACAGTAAACATAAAACCCAATAGACAGACACTTCAAAAGAGTTTTGTTGGTTCTTTAACTCTCAAAGATACTGTGTTGCATTTTGTCATTTATGGGGACACTTTAAATTTAGGTGTGTTCATAGTTATAGGTGCTTGCCTCACTGCCTGAGGCATTGAAGCAAGGTGCTGAAGAAGTGCTGACTCTCACATCATGAGATATGTTGGCTTCAATTGTGACACTTATATTAGCATCAGCAAAGGCAAGCACCTGAGGTATCTTGATATATAGTTGAATGGCTGAAATAAGAAATAAGATTAAATTAGAAAGTATTGCTTTGAAAGTATGATGGGTATTTAAATGTGGTGGGAAACCCTCTCCAAAAAATGCTAGCTATAGTAATGGGAGAATTAACTCATGTAAATGCCTCGTTAAACATCTCATACTAGTAAAAGTGGGACATAGTCATCCATACTATCCGAGTCTCTGTCAGAATAAGGTTTATATAATTTTCATTCTCACTCAAAAAAATAGTGATGCAACTAGTTTTTTGGGGTTTTGTTAACAGACAAGCAAAACAAAGCTTTTATTTCTTTTTCTTTTTTTAGAACTAAGAAAAAATCACAGGAGAACTCTACAACGATCCTAGTTGATGAATCAAAGTCTCTATTCCTCTTGGCAATTTTTTTTTATCAATCTTTAAATGCCAAGGAACCTAACTGCCTTTAACAAGCCAATCCACACGAGCTTTCCCCTCCCGCATGGTATGGCAAGCTCTGAGTACTTTGCAAAAGATAGCATTGGATGTGTTTCCAGGTAAAATTATCTCTTCAACCTCATTAGAGATGATTCATGATCACATTAGATAATGAAATGAACAATACCCAATGATTTCATAAGTTGAAAGCCATGCGGCAAAAAAAAGTTTGTTATTATGCTTGAATCTGTACTGATAAAATTGAAAATTATCAGTCTAACGTTGCGTATTCATATTTGTTTATTTCATGTAACATTTCTAGTATTTTCCCTTATTTAGTATCTCACCTCACTTGAGCTGTCTAGCTAGTGCCTTTTACTTTTAACCGCACTTCTAAGTTCCAGACCTTGTAAACCTCTTAAGCTTGCTTTGAAATCTTTGCTGTTTCCTGTCGTTTAAAAGGTTAATGGACATCCAATCTCAAATAGAAAGGCCTTCTTTGTTAATGAAATTGTTACTGAACGAAAAAATGAATTAATGAAACATCACTATTGCATCAGTCAGGGTTTCAAAACTAGTTTGCGTAATACTGGTGGTTTCATCTCCAAACCGTTAGGATTTTCCCAAGCAACTCATGTAATTATGATATTGAACTCTCTATGATGCCTTTATATATGTATTTAATCTACCTAAAACGATACGATCCTGTAACCAATGCTCACACAGTTTATTTGATCGGAACGTATGCATTGCCATAAGCATGTTCTTTGCTCTTTCACAATCTTATCATTTGTGAATTGTTGGTACTCGCATTGATGTTAAGCCTCTGTTTAGTTTGGTTGTCCAATTTCACTTCTTATACAGTAATATAGTAAATTCAAATTCTATCAATTTAATTATGTTTGGCCAAAAGTGGTCAAGCTAATAAACCTCTGTCATAACACCTGGATTTATTTTGATTACTCCATTGATATGATGCTCAGTGTACTCTTCCGTGTAGTTCCATGTAGCTTCCTTTTTTCTCCTTTTTTGCAATTTCAATAATCATGTTGTGCGTGAAAAAAAGATAGTTTTGTTCTCATCATGGTTACTTGTTTGCTGTATGCATGACTTGGAATGGAACTTGATAAAGCATGATAAGAAACAACAAGCAGCGGGGTCGACTGCATGATCGCACAGTACCATTTGTGCTCTAGCTATCAACAAACAACTCTCTGAAAATATTGCCAGCAAAAAATTGTGCTCTATCAAGCATGATAACAAAGGGCAGGGAAAATGTGTGAGCTTCAAGCATTGCTATCTGTCCCATTTCAGTAGTTCATTTGGGTTGGGGCCGAAAGAAACAGTTGAATAATGCAAATGTTGCTGGCTATTGGCTTCTGCATTATAGAGTGGGGAAATCCTTTGAATGAAAGATGATGATGGATTCATATGAAGTTAATCAACAAATGACAATGGATTACAGGTAGGTTAGTTTTAAGATTCATTATAGGAGGCAAGGTTCTTTCTCCTTAAATGACAACTGTATCGTTAGGTTTAAGATTAGTACCCTTACTGTTGTTCATTTGACCAAGAACGATTACAAATTGCTTGTTATTTTGGCTAGGGTTTTAGTATATTACATGGGTATTTAGGTTTCAAAGTGATTTAGAATTCATGTTAAGCTTGTGGCTCAAAAAGTATTTACAGATGTATTTATAGATTACTTACCAACTAGTAGGTAGGATTGATGAGTTGCAAGATGTCTCATCGAATTATATTGTTAATAGGCCGTGAATATTACGATTCTATAGATTTGATTAGGTCTTCACGGCAAGACCGGAATCCTTGTTTCATGGGATGAAAGCTAAATTCTTTCCAACTCAATCCTGGCTGAAGGGAGTCATCCATAGGTTTGGTTTTATGGAGGGGACCAAACTCATTGCAAAAATGATGTATAAATGTAGCACTTCAGTTTTGTACTGATACGGCTATTTAGATTGTGCAAAACTCGAAGAACCTAGCAATCTCTTCTCTGTCCGGTCTGAATCGGGCAACATGAAAAACCGAGTAGAATATTTTCAGCAATTCTATTCTCTCTGTTTTTGTTGTCTCTTTAAGCCTCATTGCTGCCATTGCCTCTCGCCCCCCCAGGCAGCCTAGTGTGGAAAGCTTCTGACTTTCTGATTCTCGCTAACTTGTTGTGAATCAGTTAGGTCTAATGTGATCTCTACTGGTTGTAGGGATGTTTATTGGCACAGTTTGGTTTGGTTTTGGCCAAAAATCGAACCAAATCGAACTAAATCATTCAGCTTACTCATAATTGGGATGTGATTGGTTTTTATGAAGCTTAGTTTGGTTTGGTTTGATTAAGGTCTAAATCAAATTTTAATGTACTTATTTAATTTTTTTTTTTTTTTTTATATTCATAATGGTGCTATGTATTAAAATTAAATTTAATTTTTTTGGCTCATTTTTTCATAAATAGAGGTATAAAAATATAATAAAATTTTAATGTGATAATGATAATGAATCATAAAAATTGATAAAAAATTTTAAGATATTATGCATTTCATTCAAGTCTTTTAAAAATATTTATCTATGTATCTATCTTTTAATAAATAAAGAAAAATTTGTTGTACGAAATTTAAAACAAAATTTTTCTTGTAAATAAATTGAATATTTCAAGTTGTAAATAATTAAATGATAGTTATAGCATGATTATTATAATTATTTAATATTATGCATTTTCATTTAAGTCTTTTAAAAATATTTATCTATTAATATAAAAAAATTCAAAATAAAATGTTTCTTGTAAATAAATAGTTTTATATTTTATAAGTAAATAAATAGTGTTTTATTAATCAAATTTGGCTTAATTTGGTTTGGTTTTTAGTGTTCTAAACCGAACTTGAATAAATCAATCGGTTTTCACATTATAAAAATTAAAACAGACTTAATTATTGTTAGGTTTTGATCGGTTTGGGTTGGTTTGAGTCAATTTTTTTAATTTAGATTAGTTTTGAACACTGGTTGGATGTTATTGAGTATTGAGTAATTTGTTATTGCTTGAATTCTGATTAATAAATTTGCAGCTGATGGATCTGCTTTTTCTATGTTTGCCTACCGAGTGCTAACTTCTACTGTTAAAAAGAAACTTGAATGCATTGGCAATACTTTGTAGTTTGTATGATTCTGCTGCTTTGGGTTCTCCTTGGATCAAAACTTGAATGGATCAAGTTCAAATTGGTTGTTAACTGGATCCGGTCTATAGACTATATGCACGTTAATGGGTTTCTAACATATATGTGATTTTATATGAAAATTATAGTACATTTGAATTAAAATAAGACCATGGAAAGTAAGAAATATGTATGATCGAGAAGCACATATTTTTAATTTTCTGCTTGGCTGGTTTCACGTTTATAAGAGTGTTTAATTAATTACCCGAATTAATTAGGGGTGTTTAAAATAAAAAACGAGTGAGGTAGTGTATAATGACCCCCTTTTTTGTACATCAAGATCTTCACCAATTGTCACCTGTTAAGATAGCTCCATATGTGCCGTTAGAATGTATTTTTATGTTTAATACAAGCGTAATTTCTTGTCACTCTGTCCCAGTTTATTTCTTTACCCAAAGAAATATCCACTATAAAGTTGTTTGTAGTTTCTAATCTTGTAAAATTATATTGTATTGGCTATATTCCTCAAGTATCCTTTTACATGATCCATGCAGTCTGTTCTTAGAAAATGAAGTTTACATTTTACCAAAAAATAGAAGATAATTTATTGTGGCTCGTTATGTACTTTTTTTTGTGGCCACATTTTATACTTCTGATCTTGAAATACAAAACAATAGAATATTTTTACTTATATGTAGTAGTTTCTAGCATAGAATCTTAATACCTCTTCAACAAGCAATGTCATCTTATTAGGTATGGTTAACTATATAGATTGTATGATCTCAATGTACACTATTATCAATCAAGCTGTTAAGAATAATGTTAACTAAGAGGTTTCGTTCAATAATTTTTATAAGTGTTTTCTTTAATTTTTTTATCTTTTTTAACATAGATAATTTGTTCCACTTGTCTTGCTAGTGCCTCATGTGCCTTTTTTATACATGTTTAAATCATCTTAAATGATTTTATACCACATCAATTTTTTTTAGTATATGCTTATTTTAAATTTTATCTTTTTGTATATGCCTGCATGTATATCTATTTTAGCATTTTCATCTACTATTTCAATGGTCCTGTTGCCTTTTAGAGCTCAACATTTACTATCATATATCATAATTAGTCTTATAATTCGATAAAATTTCCTTAAGTTTAGTAGATATTTTTCAGTCACAAATAATTTTTTTAGTCTTTTTTCTAATTAAATCACCTAGCTTGTGTCCTATTCCCTATTATGTTCAATTATAGCTTTTATTTAAATTTTTTCAATTGAGGTAGATAATCTAATTTTTCAATCCCACTTTTAAATTACTACTAACTGATCTTTTATTAAAATTATAATATAAATATTTTGTTTTACTCCTACTAAGGCAGAAGCCCTTCGACTCTAAGATCCTCCTTCATAATTTAAGTTTGTAATTAATCTCTTCTTTTGTCTCCATAATAAAAACTATATTATATGCAAAAGCATGTATTTGGAGATTTTCTCTTGAATATGCTTAGTTAAAACATATAGAATTAAGTCAAACAAATAAGGATTTAAAGATGACCCTTAATAGTTCAATCTTTATAAGAAAGGCTTTTGTTTTACTACCAGATGTTCTTATACTAGTTGTTGTCCATGCATATTTTATATAGCTTTAATATAGGCAACTTGAACTCCTTTTTTTCTCAAGGTTTTCTAACTCACTTCTCTCGATACACAATCAAAAGTTTTTTTTCCTCAAATCAATGAAAATCACATATAAATTTTTATCTTTGCTTCGATGCTTTTTCATTAATCCTCTTATTAGATAAATTGTTTTTGTAATTGCCTTACTCGCTGGACCTCTCTTTTATTCTTGTAGTGTGAATTAAGTTGTTTCTCCTCCATTTGTTAGGTATTTTCTTAAATAGTAAGATCTTATTAAATAACTTAACCATTGTACCCCTTATTCACCTAAGTATTTTATATTTCAAGAGGGATACAATCAAGTCTATTATTAGCTATACCATTTGTTATTTTTTAAGAGCTTTCTTTATCTCACTATCACGTGTTTTTTTTGATAAAATGACAAATTCTATTCTTCTTTATGAGTTACTAAATCTTTCAAGTTATTATACAAGCCACCTCCATCATTAAAAAAAATTCATAAAAGTAGGTCTTCTATTTGTCTTTAATATTACTATTTGTAACCAAAACTCTTCTTTCTTCATTCTTTATGCACTTTACATGTTTCAAATCTATTGATTTTCTTTTCCTACTTTTAGCAATTTTATAAATTTTTTATTCTCTATCCTTTGTTCCAAAACCCTTGTAAAACTTTTCAAATGCTTAAGATCGAGCTTCACTCATAACTTTTAATTTCTTTCTTAACTATACAATATTTTTCCCAATTTTTTAGCATTATTGCACAAGTGGATCACTTTAAAACACTCATTCTTATGTTTGATTTTTTCTTGAACATTCTCATTTCGTTACCATGACTTTTTATCTCTCAGACAAAAATCTTTTGATTCTTCTAAAATTTTTTTAGCAACCTTCCTTACCTTTTTAGTCATATCCTTCTACAAAATGGTAGCGCTTTCTTGAGACTATCAAATTCATTCAACCGAAAGATTTTGCTTGAAAAATTTCTACTTCTCATCTTTTAACTGCCATTACTTAATCCTCAAGTTTACCACTTGTCGATACTTTTGATTTATACTCTTAATATGCACATCAAGGATAAAAATCCTATTGTGTTGTAACGTTAAGAATCACCTTACAATTTTTATGAAATCTTCTATTTGTATTCCTTACAAAAGAAAAGGTCAATATGTGACCTTAAGACTCCAAGTTTGTAGGTAATGAAATGTTAATCCCTCTTTGTGAAATAAGTGTTGATAATCTTGAAATTGTATGTCAAAGAAAAATTAATAATAGATTGTTCTTCATTTTGTATCTCTCTAAAACCAAAATCATCGTGCATCCTTGCATAATTATCTGTCTTCTTCAGTAAAGATTTTTTCACTTTGTGGTATGTTTTGAATCTACCCCTCCAAATTTTTTTAAAACAATTCTTTAAGATTGGTTTCTACCTTAACTTGAGGTGGATAAACATTAATAATATTAATAGTCTAACACTAATGATCATTTTTAAGGAAATGATTTTATCCTTAATTATGTTAATTTATATTATATTTTTCTTCCACTCCTTATTAATAATGATACTCATCTTATTTTGTGTGCTTACTTTTCCTGTATAATAAAATTTGAAAACTTTAATATTTGCAACTCATTCATCGACTCATTTAGTTTCCTACAGGTATAAGGTATTAATTCTTCTATAAATTATAACTCCTACCACATTTATAGATTTACAAGTTAAGGTTCTAATGTTTCAAGTATCAAATTTGATTTTGCTCACATGAACTAACGTCTTTAGCCCTGCTCCTCCAAAATAACAAAGTAACTCTTGTTCATTGAACACTACACCTAGGCACTGATGCAATGGCTCTAACTTTCTTATTGCTACACTGAAGTTGTACGTTACTTTTGGCCAACAGCATGACATTAACATAACAATGTCTATTATTAATATCCATGTGAAATTTAATAAAGTTTCACATTGGCTATTGGGAGCCTAATATAACTCGCCTTCTTTATTTGAATTAGGGACGTGCCATACACATAGGCAGATTTAGAATAGAATCTT